TGCACCCGCAGAAACCAGCTTTCCTTAGTATTCTTGGTATCCGAGACTTTATACAGTCCTGGGTATGACTCATGAGAGGCATAGCTTGAGTGTAGACACATAGCCTCAGCACACAGGGCCTCTTACAGAAGGAAATGGGAGAAGAGTATTTTCATATTCTTTACATGACAGTGGAAAGGAGCTTGTCACCAAGTCTGACAGCCTGGATCTCATCTCTAGGATACACATGGTAGAAGAAAAGAATCAAATCTTATAAGTCATTATCGGACCTTTACACTTGTACTATGGCATGCCTGTGCTTATACAACACCCCCCCACACACACACACTCATACAGACACACAAACACATAAATAAATGTAATAAAGTTTTTTCTTCTGATTTTTCAAAATTTTTTATTGACTATTTTCTTTATTTACATTTCAATTGTTTTCCCCTTTCCAGGTCTCCTCTCCGGAAGCTCCCTATCTCCCTGACCCCCGTGAGAGTGCTTCCCTACCCATACACCCACTCCCATCTTCCCACCCTGGCATTCCCCTACACTGAGGCATTGGGCCCCCTCAGGCCCAAGGGCCCCTCCTCCCACTGATGTCCAACAAGGCTATCCTCTGCCACATACGTGGCCAGAGCCATGGGTACCTCCATGTGTGTGCTCTTTGGTTGGTGGTCTAGTCCCCGAGAGCTCTGGGGGGGTCTGGTCGGTTGACACTGTTGCTCCCTCCACAGGACTGAAAACCCCCTCAGCTCCTTCAGTCCTTTCTCCAATTCCTCCATCAGGGACCGTCCCCACCCCAGTTCAATGGTTGGCTATGAGCATTGAGCATCTGCCTCTGTATTTGTCAGGGTAATAAGGTATTTAAAAAACCATATAATGTGTGTATGTGTGGTGTGCGCGTGTGTATGTGTGATGTGTGTGTGTGGTGTATGTGTGTGTATGTATGTATGGGGTATGTGTGTGTATGAGTGGTGCGTATGTGTGTGTGGTGTGTGTATGTGTGGTATGTGTACCTCTCTGTGTGTGTGTGTGGTGTGTATGTGTGTGTGGTGTGTGTGGTGAGTGTGGGTATGTGGTGTGTGGTGTGTGTGTGTGGTGTGTGGTGTGTGTGTGAGTGGAGTGTGTGTGGTGTGTGGTGTGTGTGTGGGTGGAGTGTGTGTGGGTGGAGTGTGTGTGGTGTGTGTGGTGAGTATGAGTGGTGTGTGTGTCTCTGTGTGTGTGTGGTGTGTGTGATATGTGTGTGTGTGTGGTGTGTGTGTGTGTGTGGTGTGGGTGATGTGTGTGGTGTATGTGTCTTCTGTGAGCACGAGCATCCCACGGCACACGTGTGACGGTCAGATAAGGACTTACTCCATGCCAGTGCTCATTACATGGAGGTCAGGAGACAATTTGTGGATTCGCTATGTTCCTTCTACTAGGTGGTCCTGGTAATTGAACTCAAGTCTCAGGCTTGCCAGCAAGTGCCTTTGCCAGCTGAGCCATCTCAGCAGGCCAGGGCTCTGCATTTACCAGTCACTGGACCAAGGTTGCTGCAGGGAGATAGCAGGAGCACAGACTTAGGAAATTCCCAAAGGCTGAGAGCTGAAAGCCGTTGCAGGCAGGAGTCTCAGGAACAACTTCAGGGACAGATCCTTTCGTCCAGAAGAGTATCTGGGAAGTCCGTTAGATTTCTGGACTGCATTGCTAAATCTCTCTCTCTCTCTCTCTCTCTCCCTCTCTCTCTCTCTCTCTCTCTCTCTCTCTCCTCTGTGTGTGTGTGTTTGTGTGTGTGTGTGTGTGCACAAGTGCGTGAGTGAGCTTGTGTGTAGAGGCTAGAAATAAACTTTTATTAAATAAACTATTTAATATTAGCATATTAAGCTTACAAGAGGATGACTTGTGAGAGTTGGTTTGGTTCTCAACTTTTTTTTTCTTTTTCTTTTTTTTTGTTTTTGTTTTTGTTTTCTTGAGACAGGGTTTCTCTGTATAGCCCTGGCTGTCCTGGAACTCACTCTGTAGACCAGGCTGGCCTCGAATTCAGAGATCCATCTGCCTCTGCCTCCCAAGTGCTGGGATTAAAGGCGTGCGCCACCACCGCCCGGCGAAGGATTTTTTAAAATACACAGATTGATTATATTTCTCCTTACCTCAAACGTGTTTGATAAACAGTGTAGAGGCACAGACTTGTAATTGCGGAGCTTGTGAGGCTGAGGCAGGAGGATCCTGAGTTTGATGGGTTACCTAGTGTGACCCTGAAACAGACTGACAGAATTTAATGACTTACTACTTACAGAACAATGGAACATAGAGCCAATGAGCATGCAGACTCCCAACTTGACATCTCCTTATTTCTCTTGTCTTATCCTTTCCTTCTCTCTAGCTTAACCTTGCAGGATTCACACTGGCTGCTTTCTGGTAATGTGTCATGTTGTAGCAGGGGTGCAGGCTGTTCTGCCTGACAGCTTTATGTGTTCTGCTGCCTCACTTCTTCAAGGCCCTCAGCTCACACTGCTTCCTTCCTGAAGGCTACTCACCAGCCTAACAATCATCCTGCCGATTTTACCACTGTGTCTTGTGCCTTACAGTTCATATTATTTATTCATTTATTTTCAAGACTGGCTTCTCTGTGTAGTCCCCGTGTAGGCTGGTGTCGAATTTAGAGAGCTGCCTGCCTCTGCCTCCCCGGGCTAGGATGAAAACCCAGCACCACTGCTGCCACTGCCCCAACCAGTTCCATTTTTAATATGCTTGCATATTTGCTTAGATCTACAATACTTAGTGAGCTTATATTCTTTCCTCTCTGTCCCTTCCCAACTCCCCTCTCTTTCGCTCACCTCTCTCTTTGTTGCTGAAAATGATCTTGAATTTCTGATCCTCCGGCCTCTACGTCTAGTGTTGGGGCCACAGGAGGGCGTGGTTTTATGCCCAAGTTTATGTGGTGCTAAAGATTGAAGCCACATGTTTGTGCATGCTGCACAAGTACTACATCAAGTGAGCTATAGAACCAGCAGCAACTCAGATTCTTGACTGAAATAAAATCTTGACTTTCAAGATTTAAGGAAGTAACCCAGAAAGGGCTGTGGAGGAAGAAGGAACAACCTCAATCCAGTTTTACAAGAGTTTCTGAAAATCCAGCAGGCGATGTATTATGCTTTAAAAAAGTTGTTGCTTTGGGTGGAATTGACCATTAGGGTTACATCTGAATCCTATCCTAGCACTAGCCAGGTTTTATGATGTATGAGACATGCCTTATGGGGAGGGCAAAATAACTTCCCTGCATTCTTCTAAGTTGCTTAGTTAGTCTGCAAATTAAATTAGCATAAACCAGATTAGCAGAACTATCTAGGCTGGCTCCAAAGTCCCGGGTTCTAGAGATTCTCCTTGACTCTGCCAAGAGCAGCAGCGACTACAGGTGTGTGCCACCATGCCTGGTCTAAGAGACCAAGGTTAATTATAGACTATGCTCGGGAGTCCTACACAATTAAATCAAAAGGCCTGATGACTGAAGCTCGTGCCGTACAGAAAGGAACAAGAATTGGACGTTTTAGTAGGTAGTGAAGACAAACGAAGGGAGAGGGAATAACAAGTCGATTCTTTGTTTAAATGGCCTCCCCAGCAAAAATGTTGTTTATGAATAGCTAAGCTGCCTTTCTGACACAGATACCTTATCAAGTTTCCCTTATACATTTAACCTTGTTACAAAAATGCTGCCTTTTAATTTAGGTAGTGGAAGGGAGCTGAAACGCGCGTGTCGTGTCGAATGGATCTCAATTTTTTTTCGTTTAAAAGTATCAATATGCAGAAGGACACATTTTTAGCACGGCACTTTCTTACAGTCCTACTTTGAGGTGATGGGTTCTGAGCCTCAGACACCATAACGAATCAACGTCATGAGTAAGATAAATACCTTAAACCCCTAGGTGAGCCTCGCCATTATGCAGACTATAAAAAAAAAACCAACAACAAAAACGTTTTGCAACCCTGCGAAAATGGTTGTTTTTAAAACGCTGCATTTTGCAATCTTCCAGGCGCTTTAATTGTTCTCAGACAGATGGTTAAAGCTCGGCTACCGCACCCGCATATGCTAGGATAAAACCGACTACAGCGCCAGGAAAAAGATGATTGGCTGTGGGCCCTAGAAGTTACCCGGTTCCCTAGCAAGAGCTGGGAAAGCGCTGAATGTTCAGGTTTTGAAATACGGTTTTTGCATCGTTAAGAAAGAAGATTAACCTATCAGGAAGAACCGAGCACATCCAATTACCAATCAAGAGCGGGAAAAAAGCCAAAGCCGGAGATACCCATGCACCAAAGAGGACGTCACTCTTCAGAATCTGCCAATAAGCCGAGGCGAGGGGCGGGGCAACAAGAGGATCAATTGCCCAAGAAAACAAACAATGTGTAGTACAACTGTCTAAACCCCAGTGCTAAGCTCCGGATGCGCAGGAATGAGCTCCTGAGCAAAGCTCTCGTGAGGTGCTTCCGGCTTTTCTAGCCTAATGACAGTCAGAGCCGGGTATCTCCTTCGCAGCTCAGCAAAGTCTTCCTTCCTGTCAGCTCCCACAGGCTCGCAAAAAGCCCTCTGCAACTTTGCGCTACAGTTTACAGGAACAGCGGAGTCGCGCGCTACCTGAGGGGGTGGGGCGGCAGCAATGCGCAGGCGTACATGCCCTGTGGAGGCGTGGCCGAAAAGGCCCAAGGAACTCGGGGAATTGTATTCCTCGCGTCCGAAGAGGTAGCACAACTATGAGTCCTCTTGAACTACATTTCCCAGGATCGCTCGCGACCTCGGGGCGGGCCGCTTGGTTCGTTAATGAGTTCGAGAAAGCCGCGGCGCGGCCCACCAGGTTCCAAAACAAGGAAATGAAGGGAGGAGGCGGGACTGTGGGTGCCTGCGGGAGCCGCCGCCGCCGCCGCGGAGGAGGAGGAGGCGGAGGAGGTGGCTGCCGCGGCCGCCGAGGAGTCCCTTGCTGAAGGCAGACCGCGGAGCGGCGGGCGGCGCGCGCGCGCCCGTGCGACGGCTGTTGGAGAAGTGGAGCGGCGGCGGCGGAGGAGGGACTGAGTGGCGGCGGCCCCCGCGTCCCGGTTTCTCTATGGGGGAAGCAGACAATGGATTATGATTTCAAGGCGAAGCTGGCGGCGGAGCGGGAGCGGGTGGAGGATCTGTTTGAGTACGAAGGGTGCAAAGTGGGACGCGGCACCTACGGGCACGTCTACAAGGCGAGGCGGAAAGATGGGTAAGAGCGCGGGCGGGGAGTGGGCTCGCCCCGTTCCCTCCGCTGCGGAGACCCGGAGGGCTGGGTGGGTCGGAGCCCTTGGGACAGGGCGGCGTGGGTCTCGGAGCGACGTCCCGGGGCCAACTCGGAGGCACTGGTGCTGCCGCCCCCCGATAGCCGGTCGCGCCCCTCGAAGTGGCACAGCGCAGCCCCGTCGGGGGCGTCGGTCGCGCCTGGAGTCGCGGCTGCGTGCTTAGCAGCGGGCAGCGGGACCTGGTGGAGACCGCGCCTGGAGGTGGAGTTTAGGGGTCTGGTCCAGGGGAACCCTCCGGAGGGCTTGGCTGAAGAGTTACTGGTTTGGCCCTGTGCTGGTGACGGTCGTGGTGGAACTTCCAATCGGCGCAGCGCCTTCCCCGGGCGGCGGTTTGAAAGCTCGCGGGGGCGCCTGCCGTCTGGTGGCTCAGCGCTTGGGGTCCTGGCTGACCCCTCGGGTCTGACTCCCTCGCCAGCCCAGCCTACATCCTTGTTTACCTGAGAACTTCCCGATCCTGCTCCCAATTCCCACATTTTAATATTCTGAATTCAGCACTCTGAAGGTGGACCCTGGAGAATCAGTTGTATATTACAAGCTTTAAGTGTTCTCTGGTTGCTTACCTTTCTTGCCTCTTAGCTATCTTAGGTATCACCTCCCCCCTCCCTATTTTGGAACTCAGAGATCCGCCTGCTTCAGCCTCTCAAGTACTGTCATTAAAGGCGTATGCCACCACACCTGGTCCATTTCTCTTTCCTTCAGAAAGAAATCTTGAGTGTTAGTATCCTCCAGTTCTCATCCTCTGTCAAATGGCTGTGAGCCATTTGGTAGTGTTTATCTAGAACTTAGACCATCAAAATCAAAACGGAGTGACAGGCTTGGGCCTGGACCACCGTTTTCGTAGTTGAGGGAATCTATAGGAATCTCTTGGGAAGTCTTTATGGATTGTCAGTAAAAGACAAGTTAGATAAAGCATCAAGAATGGCCCCTTCGGGCCGGAGGGCAGACTGGCTTGTAAGAGCAGGACAGGTGGAACCAAACTTCAGGCCTGGGAATGGTGGATTTAAAGCCAGCTGTCACCTTGGCCCTGTTCTGGAAGGAATTCCTTTCCCTTAGGTTTTGTAACTTAGAAAGACTGACTGAAACGACGGTCAGACCAGACAAAAGGGAGGCCTTATGATCGTGATGGAGCACTTTTGAGAAGCAGATCACCACACCTCAGATTTAAGGGGCTTCTTGGGGCTCCTTCACACTGCTGTGGTTTGATATAGTTGGTGAGGAACTCTAGCTAGTATCAAGGTAAGCAGTGCATGTGCTAATTTTATAAGAAGAAAACCAAAACACAATCATGGAGTGTTTCCTACATAGTACCTGGAAAATTACAGGTAGTATCCAGGCCTCAAGGATGATGATGAACTGCTATTGCAGGTAGAGCTGTATAGGCCAAGCTACTCGGTTGTTTGAGCTGTCTCTTTTAATTACCACGCGTTCTCGAGTGCACACCAGGCGCTATAGGGTACTGTAATTGACTTACACTTTGTTTTTGGAATATCCATTCTACTGGTTAAATTGGTATTCCAGTGGGAATCTTCACAGGGATGTTTGGGGAAACCAAATCCAGTGCTGTTATTTGGACATTGTTGTTACATTGTTGAGCTGGATTTTCTGTTAACCCCCAGAAACTGTGTTAACTTTATTACACACTTAATCTAGGATAAAAAAGTTTTAATTAAAAATATCTTAAAATATTTTTATTTGCCCTGAAACTTTGAGAAAAGTTAACAGTTCTGCTTCCGAGTTGCATAGAATGGCTGGGATTACCACAGAAACAGTTTTTGCTTCTACATACTTTTCAGTATGTCTCTAAAAATAAGAATATTGATTAAAATACCCTTATTCTTTGCGTGAAATTGGTAAAGTAGAATACATAAAATAAGGTCAGTTTTTGTATTTTCAAAGTAGAATTTAAAAAAAAAAAACCAACCCAGAGCTAGAGGCAGGCATAGGCGGATTTCTGAGTTCAAGGCCACCCTGGTCTACAGATGGAGTCTATAGCCAGCCAGAGCTACACAGAATCCCTGTTTTAGAAAACCAACAAAACAAAATAAACCAGCCAGCAAAAACCACTTAGAATATGAAAATATATTTTTCAGATCATTATATCACATGTTCAGACTAGTATATCACATGTAAAACAAATTCTGATAGGCTTTATTTATTTATTTATTTTTTTGGGCTAAGGGTCTGGTTCAGATTCCTGGCTTTACACTAAACACTCAAGTCTCTTGTGATTTGGTAGTGGAAATAATTTTATGTCCATTATTAATCAGCAATTCGAAGACCACGGGTTTTAGTGGTGGTTCTCAAATGTGATACAGATTTGGGTAGTCAAGGATTTCATCCTCTGGTCACTCTAACTTACAGTTCCCCTTTTTACATCTTATTTTGGTAAGCTTGGGAAAAATGAGTGGTGCGGTGCTATTTTTAGGGAGCAAGAGAGACGAGGGCCTGCTAGAGAGAAGTAATTCTAGTGTATGTAACACCATTGCATGTACATGCACACGTACATGTCTATACACACACATAAATGTACACTAGCATGTAGAAACAAAAACTGTTAGAACTTTACAATAACATAAGAAAACCTTTGCTTCTGACTTAGAGATAGCTTACAGATTTTTAGTTCCTTCAGAATGACATTTTTCAAATGAGAGTCAAAATAGGCCATACCATGCAGGGGGAATTATAGCAGGGTAGAAGTGTAAGACGTGTCTGAGTTTTTCACCTTTTTATATTTGATTGGTGCATAAAGGTTTTTATACACAATGGTACTTAGTGATGTTTTGATCCCTGTGTACATTGTATACTGTTTCAATCAGGGTAAAAATGTCGCCTCAGACACTTAACATTTCATTGTGTTGACAACACTGGAAATGTGTTTCTTCTTTTTTTTTTCTTTTTTGGTTTTTTCGAGACAGGGTTTCTCTGTGTAGCCCTGGCTGTCCTGGAACTCACTCGGTATACCAGGCTGGCCTAGAACTCAGAAATCCACCTGCCTCTGCCTCCGGAAATGTGTTTCTAACTTACTTGAGTGTTACATATCTTGTGATTATATACAGTTTCTAACTTACTTGAGTGTTACATATCTTGTGATTATATACAGTTTCTAACTTACTTGAGTGTTAAGTATCTTTGATTATATACAGTTTCTAACTTACTTGCCCTGTTAAGTCTCTTGTGATTATTTATAGTTTCTTTGCTGTTCAGCATGGCACCATGGCTTATTTCTCCAAAAGTTTTTTCCCTTAATAAAAATGTTTCTCATTAATTCTTTGTTTGAAAGGAAAAATACTGATTCCCCTGTAAAACGCAGTCAGGCTGCGCCCTCAAGATGATACACCCAGGGAGAGTGTGCTGCCAAGTAGAGGCTTGAGCTGGACCCTGGGATCCTCGTGGTGGAAGGAGAGACCATTTCCACAAAACTGTCCTCTGACTTCCACACCTATGACTTGTAGGTGCCCTCTCCCCCAGGCATTCAAAGGAAATAAATGCCAAAATATTATTATCAGGCTTAAAATTAATTACCTACAATTTACTTACTAGAAATGTTATGTGTGGACCATGGCAGGAGACGACTTTGTGGCAAGGTTCTTGTCTACCTTCATATAAGTTCTGAGGGTTGACTTGAAGTTGCCATGCTGGCGTTATCAGACAGGTGCCTTCACCTGCTAAACCATTTTGTTGGCCCAAATTTACTCATTGGTGCTGAGGTCCAATATAGGACCCTGGGAATACCAAGCTTGTACTTTGCCACTGAGTATGCTATGCTTCCAGCTCCAGGGTATCTTAGAATTCTCTAGTATGAGTAAGTATTCATAAGATTTTTCTTTAGTAGTAAAAAGTTTCACACTGTGTTAGGAGTATAGCTTAGTTGGTAGAATGCTTGCCTAGCACACAGAAGGCTCTGGGTTCTACACTGTATAAACTGGGCTTGGCATGATATCAATGCTGGGAAATGGAGCCAGGAGGATCAGATGTTTAAGGCTGTAGTTGGCTATATATGAGTTCCGTGCAGCCTGGGGCACATGAGACACTGTTTCAAAAAAAAAAAAAAAGTTGGGCATAAAACTTTATAGTTTCAAGTCTGAAGACAGTATCTTTCCAGTTAGGAACACTTCATTATGACTGATAAAGGAATATTGTTAAAAAATTCTTTTCATTAAAAGGGTCATAAAAAAAAAAAAAAGCTGGGCAGTGGTGGCACACGCCTTTAATCCCAGCACTTGGGAGGCAGAGGCAGGTGGATTTCTGAGTTCGAGGCCAGCCTGGTCTACAGAGTGAGTTCCAGGACAGCCCGGGCTACACAGGGAAACCCTGTCTCGAAAAACAAAAAAGAAACAAAAAACCAAAAACAAAAACAAACAAACAAACAAACAAACAAATGGGTCATAGAAACCTGATTCTGTGGCATAAGACTATATGCAAAAACTTGTCTAATGTGAGTTGGATTTCCAAGACCAACTGAAAACAAAAAGTTGCTTTTTATGACTGTTTTTGAAAGGTACTTGGTAAGTGAAAGTGGGGTGGCTGCAGAGTTCTTAAGAGTTTCAGTTTTGTCTTAGATTTCAGATGAGAACTGGGGTACACATGTTTTACTGTCTCATGAAGTCCTTCACAAGTAGATGACGTAACTGCATGTAGATGTACATGGAAAAACAGTAGGTACAGTAGCATCTGGCTGTTTTTAATGGCACTCCCACAGTTGGTTTGTAGATGGTCACGTTCGCATTTTGATTGGTGGCTTCTGGAGGTTTAAGTAGTTAGCTCTGTGATAATACATAGGATTTCCAAATTGTCAAACCTGTGGATCATCTAGCTCAACTGCCTCTTTTTACAGCAGGAGCTCGGGGGCTCAGGGGAGCTCAGGGGGGATCAGGGGGGTCAGGGGTCCAAGAGGTTAACTCACTGTCGTCACACAGCATGAAGGAAG